CTGGCACAGTCATTTCATTTCTGGTCTTCTTGAGTTGATTCTGTGTTCTTATCACTGTGTAAGTTAAAATGTTGTTTGACAAACCTCTCTAAGAGCAGAGCACAAAGTGAGGGCTTCCCTTGAATCCTCTTCAAAACCTGGGTTAGTTTTAACAGAGATTAAAATGACTTGGATTAGAAAGTATTTCAGAGTCTGCTGCTTTTTTTTTTTTTTTTAATCCTCATTAGCAGCACTTCCCAATAGTCATCAGGTTTCTGATCTGCAATAGGTAAAAAATTGACTGACATGTACAATATCTGAAAGCCACCAGATGTTAAACCTGACAGAGTTGTTATTTCAATCATTGTTAATGAGTGCAGTTTCAATTTTAGATTGCATTATACATGAATTAATAGAATTTTCCTTTTTTGTGGGTTTCTTATCAACCAACCTTGGTTTGTTAGGTGCTTTAAAAAAAAAAAAAAAGAGGAGGAAGTCAGGCTCTTCCACAGCTGTGGAATTATGTTAGTATCATAGTAATGTTTACTGGTGCTCTTTCACATTTTGTCTCAGTCATTTTATGACTAATTGGGTGGCTTTTTAATGAGTACTGGCAACTACAGAGTGAGAACTTCTCTGAAAACATAAGCTTTTTTTTTTCTTGAGGCCCCAGAACGCAATTGGGAAAGGAAGTAGTTCTTGAAAGTGAACATCCTCTATCTGGAGCCAGGGACATAGTTTGCATCCACAAATTAAAACGTGCGTTTTTGTTGTTGGTCATCCCCTGATTTGCAGGTTTTTAACCTAGGACTGCCTGGTTCTAAGCAGGCTCTGATTTTTATGCCTTCTGACTTATCACCACTGTTGTCTTGAGGAGTGTTTTACATCAAAGTTCAAGCAAACATTTTCTCTTTCCAATCCTTTTTTGTTTTTAAATTGGCATAACTCCCTTTATTTCCCCTTTCTGTTCTCCAGTATAGAAACAATCCATGTCTGAGTGTGGGGGTATGTCAAACCAAAATTCAGATAAACCATCTCTCCCCACACTTCAGGGGAACTATGGCATTTAAGTTTATAGCATGTATGTTTCAGGAACAACTTTTCCTTCCCTTTGACTGTAATGCATTAAATGCTAATATAACAATAATCAAGATGGTAATTGAGTGTTTTTGAGAAACAAGACCTGTAGAAAACTGTATTCAGCGATATCACTGATTTAAAATATATTACAGATAGTAGTTTATTGCCTTGCCTCCCGAGTAAATTGTTTAGTGTTAGTAACAAAGTGACCATCCTCATTAGACCATCTCCATGTTTGTGCTGGATAGAAATCCTGTGTGTTTATACAGGCCTTGCATGGCACATCTCTTTGGAAAAGGAGCAAACCTAGCCAATGTTTTGGGGTGAAATGTAACACTGATTTCTTAGTAGCTGTTTTCTTTTCTTTTGTAGAGCAAAACTATTGTGAATCCCGGTATCACTTCTTGCACTCCTCAGATGGCGAAGGTTGTGCTAATATGCTAGTAGAATATTCCTCATCCCGGGGATATCGCAGCGAGGTGGACATGTTTGTAGCTCAGGCAGTCTTGCAGTAGGTATTCCACAATGTTTATCATCAAAATGCTTGATAATATGATTTGAATTCTGCATTGCATTGGCCGCAGGGCTCTAGTTAGGGCAACTGTTGGTTAAGTATGTTCCCTGCAAAAGATTTGTGAATAGAGTTTTTAAGCCCTTTTTTGTAGTTCATCAGATGGAAAAACTTTACACAGTAGATAAGTTGATTAAAAGGACTAATGGGGAAGGTGTAAATTTGTGCTAAACAGGAAAACTAAATCAACCCATGTGAATCCAAGAAGCAGCATCCTCATCACCAAAATAAAGGTTTTCCTCCAGTTGCTAAGAAGCTTCCTTTGTACCTGTTAAAGACATCAGTGTGTTGTGTTTATTTTCTTTGTCTCTGTTCCCACAAACACAACACTGAAATGTATTTACGTGTGTTTAATGCTGCCTAAAGGTCCAGGTCAGGATTGGGGCTTATTTGTACTGGCCTACATGCAAATACAAAGGCTCTGCCTCAGGCTCCCGGTAGAAGAATGATCCCTTTTGTGCTGTTGCATGTGGTCAGAGGTAGTCAGTGATCAGGTGCTTCCATTAAGGGACCTGCTTGTTCCTTTACGATGCTTTAGTACAATTTATTACATTGATTTATAAGTTGTTATATGTCAAATGCACAGCATCCATTTTAACTCTGTTCAGCGTAATACACTTTAAGATGCTTGACTTTATCTGAGTCAGTATAAAAATGGCCCACTGTTTTAGTCTTAATCACGTTTTGAGTGGGCTGTGCAGTTGACAAAGCAGCTTTTGCTGTACTGAAGCATTTCTTGGACATCGTCATTCTGTTACGTGTCATTCAACTAGCACCAAACCGAAGCAGTTCCTTTATGAGGTTGTGCTACATGCAGGGCAGTTCCAGCTTTCAGAGCAATTGCGTGTGCTGGAAAAGTTTCATAAGGTGCATTATGTCATGCAGTATTTATACAGAAATGCAACTAAATCTTTTACTGGCCTAGATCTTTAACCAGATTAAATCTTGCAACATGTGGATTTACTTCAAGCTATAATCATGTGAAAAATCAGTGTTGCGGCACCTTGGTCAACAGTACGCGGTGAATTTAAAAACTCATTACATCTAAGAGTCCAGTTTTGGAAGCCAGCACACAATTGAAAATGAGATCTGTCTCATGACAGCCAACTCAACCCTTGCAAACAAGATTTGCTTCCTAAGCAAAAGGTTCCCAGTAAGTTAGTGCATCTTGCTGAAAATTTGACTGCATTTACTAAGCATAAGAGTTGCAGTCATTCAGACACAAAATATACAGAATTTATTGGATCTTCCAATATTGCAGCACGCTGAGATGCTGGTAGTATTTGAAGGCAATTGTTTGATCATTCTGGGATGAGAGAACCTAATGATGATGGATATTATGGATATTTGGGAAGATGGAATATCACTTAGATTGCATTTTTACTCCAGTAAAGTGAATTTTTGGTGATATGCAATTAATTTCAGTTATGCAATAAAAGCGGCATCCGCTGTAATCAGTTTTCATGCACTGTGGTAAAAGGTGAATAAGATTGGATGAGAATTGCTGTATATCCTGCTTTAGATGGATTGATCGCTGCTTTTTTTTCTCCCTCCTGAGCAGAGATCAGCGTAACTGATGTTAACATCTACATGCTCTGGTTGTTCTTTGAAGTAGTTTAACAATTTTCTCCCTGGCTGATTATTTTACGTGATTGCCAGAGCTGTACGTTGTCAGCTAATAGAGCCTTGACTATTAATTAATCAGTTGATCATAATTCAGCTTGCTTATGTAAATTCAACGTAGGTCAGCAGACATTTTAACCTTATGTTCTTGGCTTAAAATCAGGTTTTCCGGCACTAATAAATATCATTTCAACTTCCACTGTTCCGCTTTCCTTTTCAGATTTCTCTGCTTAAAGAATAAGACCAGTGCATCAGTGGTTTTTACAACATATACACAGAAACATCCTTCGATAGAAAAGGGGCCACCATTTGTACAGCCATTACTAAATTTCATCTGGTTTCTGTTACTAGCTGTTGATGGGTATGATATAGTGTGTTACTTCTGGTTTTAATTCACATTTACATTTTGCCAAGATTACATATTGTGTTGTTTCCTTCCTAGAGGAAAACTAACAGTATTTACAGTATTGTGTGAACAGTATCAACCCTCACTGAAAAGAGATCCCATGTATAATGAGGTGAGTTATCGGTAGTTCTGAACGGGATTTAGCACTGCCAAGTAGACTTGCTTAGATAACCTGTCTCAGTAGCACATCCGTATTTAACTGGGAAGCCCAGTAAAGTACAACACGGATGACTTCTTTCAGTTTCTTCAGATGTAATCATTACCAGCAAACACTAATGGAATGTTCTTTTTATTCACACAGTTTATTTACCCTGACATGATTATTCATTAATATAAAGCACAGTATTTTACTTGTCTTTGGTACATTTATTTAAAAAAAATTAATGTTTTAACTACAAATCAGAGAGAGAAATTCTCAGAATACATTGCTGGAAATTCTGGGCTTTAATTTCTTTTCTTCCCTTGCTGTAATAATTTATATATGTCCCAGTAGCTAATGTTATCTATGTTTGTGTCTCATTGCAGTATCTAGATAGAATAGGACAGCTTTTCTTTGGAGTTCCTCCCAAGCAAACATCATCCTATGGAGGATTACTAGGTAATTTGTAACAATTAAATGTATAATCTTGTTTGAAAGAATAGTTGTTTACAGAATCTGTTACTTAAGTATATCAACCCCTTTTACATGTCCTAATCTATTAAATTTAATAGGCATGGCTTCTTTGAAATGAACAGGGTAATCTAAACAATAATTACCATTATCAAATATGCAGTAATCAGTTATGCATGCAAGTGCATTGTTATATGGCTCGTAATATCATGATTTTATGCCAAAATGGAAGGCATGCTTGTATATCCCTAGAAACATACATATTTTTTAAATTTGAAATTAAATAGCAAAGCAGATCCCTCAGTCCCACTAAGATTTGCCCATGCTTAATTTTGAGCATGTTTGTATTCCCATTGACTTCAGCGGGATTACTTATTTCTTAAAAGATATGTTCATGCTGAAATAAGTTTATGGCTAGGTTCTTGGAAGAGAAGTGTAACAGCTATGCTACAGAAATAACTTTAATATTTCTGAAGAAACAACATTGGGGTTTTTTATAAAAATCTTTATTGGAAGAAGAAAAAAACACATCTAATTTAATCTTGATTATAAATATATTAGAAGGAACAAGTTGAGCCTAATTATTTACAAAACCACTGACTGCAGTGCCTTTCTCAGAAGAACTAAGCTGTTCCTCAGGAAGCTTTTTTGATTCATTGCAATTCACAAATGTCTCTAGAGTTCCTTTAACTGGTACCTGAACTTCATTCTTGAACTTGATCCAGAAATAGTTGTTCAGCATTTTGAAATTTGCTGTTCAGTTTAAGCAAGATGAAGGCATATGAACACTGCTGAAAACTAGTTTTCTTTCCTTCCTAATGTTTTCCAAAACTCATTCCTCTGCTGTAGTCAAAGCAGATGATACAATATGTTTGTTGTCCTTCAGTGCCTTAAATTACTCTTCCAGGGATAATGGAGGCTGATTCAGTAAAAGCTGAGGTCTGCAAACCATGGCAGCAGTCACTTGGTCAGTTTTATGTCTTGAGCTTCCAGCGCCTCAGATCTTTCTTTAGGTCCTAATCACTCAAAGTAGTAATTGTCCACAAATTCCACTGGAGTCCCTAGAATTGCAGTTGTTCAGTTCCTCATAAAATAGATTTCCCTAAGTTTTCATATTCAGGAAGGATCCCAGTTTGTAAAGTACTTGTTTGCAAATTTATGTAAATAAGCTAAGCACTGAAGTTACCTTAACTTGGGGTGCCCTTTTTAAACAGACTCAAATACTCTGTCTTTTTATGGAGGTGAATGTCACTTAAGGCTACTTTACTCTGGTTTTCTAGACCATTGTAGCTCCTTATATTAAATATTCTTCTTTCCATCTGGATAAGTCGTAGGGCTGTGTGAAATGGCACAGTTCCGTTTCAGCTCGCGTTTCGAGGTTTCAACAGAACAGGGTTTCATTTCGAATTTCATTTCAATTCAGAACCGCTGTTCCGTTTAGCTTTGTCAAAACAGTAACTCTGTTTCAACGCTTCGCTCATTCGCTATAATGGGGAAGCGTGAAACAGCCTCTCTCATCTGGCAGGCAGATGGGGGCCCGCAACCCCAGGAGGGTTGTGGTGACTGCTAGTCCTCCCAGGGCTGCGGGCCCATGATCTGCCTGCCACATGAGGGAGGGAAGCCGGGTGCTGCCACCTGGGATTGGGGAGCTGGGGAAGGGAACTGAGCCTAATCGTTCAGTTCCTCTCCCCAGCCCCATGATCGGGTTGGGGAACTCAGCCCAGCTGGGCTCAGGCTGGGCTGAATTCCTTTCCCCAGCCCTATCGCAGCACTGGGGAGGGAAACTGAGCCTGGCTTAGTTCCTTTCCCCTGCACTGTGATCAGCTTCCAGCTGCGGGAGGCAGGAAGAGCCAGGGCTTCGTGCCCAGCTGAGCCACATGTGGCTGCAGAGCTGCGGGGAGCGCACCCCTGGTACTCCCCTGTCTCCCACCACATGGCTGCTGGCTGCTTCGAAACTAGAAACGTTTCAAAACTTTTGAAATGTTTCAAATAGCCTCGTTTTGTTTTGAGGCTGTTTCAAAGCCCTTCGTTTCAATTCGATTTCACTGTTTCGAGCTCGAAATGAGTCAAAACAGTATCAAATCAAAACAGCCAGCGAAATTTCACACAGCCCTAATAAATAGTTTTTGGAATGGATACTGAGATCTTATGTAACCTCTTAATTTCTGGCATAAATGGTTAAATGATTTTTCATGTACTTTCAAGAAAGGTTGGGTGGGTTGGTTGGTTGTTTCTAAGAAAGTCATTTATTCTTATTGCTAAGTACTTAAATTTAAGGAGCATAATAAAATATTGCTGTGAAGCCATTGGTTTCGAGGAATGCTTTCCCTCTTTCTCTCTTCAATCAACTACTCCATTGCAGTGACAGAAACTTGAAAATAAAATAATTCTGCCAATGTTCTAAAATTAGAGCATAGCATTTCAAGCACCTTTAACTATTCCATATTTAATTATAGGAAATCTTTTAAACAGTCTGATGGGAACTGGAGAAGAGGATGAAGCAGAAGATGGTCAAGAAGACAGCAGTCCTATTGAACTTGATTGATTTTTTTTTTTTTCTTTTCTTTTTTTTTTTTCTTTCTTCAGTGGGAGCTGCATGAATCTGACAATTTGATAATTCAAAAGACAGTTTCAGAATTTGAGTCCGGCCATTGTTTCTCAGCAACTAGAAGGGCTCCTTAGTTCTGTTAAAGAAAGTTGCTGAAATGTTTATAATGTTTGGTCTATATTATTTATGTAAAAAGAAAAAAAAAAAGTAGCCAAAAGAACTGATTGGAGTTATTGTTAACAGATTTCCAATATGCTGGCTGGTGAGCTTGATATTGAGATATGGTCTTCTGTGGTTTCAAGTGCAGTATTCCTTTTTCCACAATGAATAAAGCATAAACATTGATTTGCTACTCTACATTTTTTAACTAATTTTCTTTCAGATGATTCTGAAAAGTGCTTAACATTTGATGTCACAAAGGAATGTCTTGAAAGGCAGGGTTAATGGCTGAATAGCTTATCTAAGAGCCCAGTGCCAAAATACTTCAAGACAAGCCAAAAAAGTAGAATTAAAGATGCACATCTAATAAATCTCAGTACCAAGAGAAAAGTCCTCATTGAAATTAATTCCTGTTGCAGCAAATCATAAAATTTTTGCAATCAAGAAGAATTCTTAATATTTAAAATCAGCCTGCAGCTTATGCCCACATTTCCATATAAGTATCTGATTTAATCAAGGGTAGTTTGAATAAAATGGATCATTTGAATGTAGGCAATTGGCTACTAATTGGGTCAAAATCTCCTAGCCATGTAATTTTATACATATACACTCAGCAGCTAAAATACCTCCTCTAGCACATGGCTTTATTCTTCGGAATGGAGTCTTTTTAAGTTTAGGTTCGTGATAGTGTGGAAAGGTGACTGGGGTTTTGTAATCAAGCAAAACCCACGGCATTTTTACTACAAGTAGCACACGCATTTGAAACACAACTCTATTTAAAGAAAAGGGATACTGGAAAACTCTTGGTTCTTTATGATACAATATTTATTTTTATTGGGTGATTGATTCATTTAACACTTTCTGTATAAAAAAGAATAAAAATAAAAAATACCTAAAATAACTGCAAACCATGCGGTAGGCATAATTCTACATCTTGTCTCCTTTTAATGCAGTACACCAGATGTTAGCAGAATGATTAAAAGATGAAATGGGGGAAACACTTTATTTTTTCACATTTAAAGTAAAAGGCTTAGATTAATACACATCGATCATGCATGGGGGGAATAATACATTTTTATTTACTGTAAAAAAAAAAAAAAAAAAAAAAAAAAAAAAAAAAAAAAAGATAAGAATTTAAAGGAAGACTTTGTGTTAATTGTTGAGTATTAAATAAATACTTTATACTGGGATTGGCAGCACTGTTGGTTTTTGACAGTCTCATGCTTGGAGGTCTTCTGTTTAAGGCGCTCTTTCCCTTAACGTGACCAGCAGTTGTGCAGCTTTGCTTCTCTGACTTGTCTCCTGCATCCAGGGATTGAGAGTTCTCTGTTAAAATAGTTTTGATGATTGCTACAAGTACAGACTGACAAGTAGTCAGTCAGATGTCAAGCAGGCCATGGGAAGTGTTGTGTCTTCATGCCTTCCACCAGCCAAGGCTCTGCCTTCCAGTGCAGAAAGCTGGCTCTGTATGATCGTATGCGGGGACAGACGTGTGTGGGAGATGGGGCTACAGTTATCACGTTCTCTGTGCCCCTCTCTTCTCCGCACAGTGCACCACGTCTGGGAGGTGGAGCTTAGCAACAGTCCTGAATTCTTGGTGGTCTGCTTGTTACCCTTATTGAAAACAGGGAGTGGATCTGTACTGTTAATACAAAACCTTAACTGTGGCCTCTGTAGCTCTGAGGCCTAATAACTTCCCACGTATATGTACGTATCTGGAGTTGTTGAAATGAAGCTAAAAGCAGATAGGGTGGTTGTTAAGCTTTTCTGTCTGCCAGGTTAAATTAGAGTGTATTGTTTTGGGGCTCTGGACTTGAAAGTTTTTGTAGAGGGCATGAGTGTTTCTTGCCAGATATGAAGATAACTTGTCCCTTCTGTTCTTTCAAGGCTTTGGCTTCATGGGATTTGGTTTGCTCTGAACAAGGGGGAATACTTTTGGGCAATTTTATTTTATGGTGAGATATGTGAAAAAGATGTGAGCAAGGAGGAAAAGTGTCATGGAGTTTCAGTGGGAATTGTCACACCAGGAAATAGTTTGTAAGAAGGTTTTTTGTGAGGAGGAAAAGAAAGAGTTTTGGTGGCTTACAGTGCACCTGCTGCTGCTTCTTGAAAGGTTCCTGATGGCATCTCGTCACGAGTCCAAAATGTCTTGGCTGAAGATGACTGTGGCCTAACAGGGTTTATTGCTTTGGGTAGGAAAGGGTCTGTGTTGGCTTGGGTAACATCCTTCAATATGAAGGGCTGCTAAGGAAGGAGTTAAGATCCTCACTAGAGAGGGATGTCTAAAGAATGAAGAAGCTACTTGTTTAGTCTGGGGAGGGAAGAGGCTCAGGAAGCACCTGAAGTGCTGGAAAATGGACCATCTGCTCCACACAAGCTGCCCGCAGCTCACATTTCACATTTGGAAGGGATGAACTGCCCCGTTTGGTACTTCTCTGTCTGACTGAGGAAAGCTGGTTCTGACTCCCTGCAGATGGCCCGGGCAGGGAGAAGTTGTAACTTGAGGTGTCAGGTAGCCAGTGATTTTTCTTGTCCTCCCTTTTCCTTGGAAAGCCTCATACAGCACTGCTTTTGCACCTGTGCAGAGCACCATTTAAGCTTGGTTTTTAAGCCTTTGTAAATGAACTCTGAGGAGCTGCTGGGCCAAGCCATAATATGGGGTAAAGATACAGGGATGGTTGTGTTCCTTAAAACCAGTCCTTAATGAGACGAGAGGCTGGAGAGAGAGGGATTGTGGAGGCACGCAATCCATGGGCTTATGCTCCCTGGTCCTGAAATGGTGGCTGATTCTAGGGAAGGTGGATGAATGCCATAGAGAGGGACAAGAGGGTGTGGAAGATGCCCAGCACAGACCAGACAATGGATCGGAGTCACGGACGGACTGGTAGGTGCCTTCAGAGATCGTTAGTCCAAACCTCTGCTCAAGGCAGGCTTATCTCTGGGTTCAGGGGAAGGTATGAATGGATACATGGGGAGGGACATGGGAAGCTGCAGGCATAAAGTGGAGTGGGGTAGAGGGGCGTTCTCTAGTTTTCCTATCCTAGTATAGCTCCCTGTATGGATGCTGATTGTGGAATAAAAATGCATTTTTTCTGGTTTAGCTTCCATTGCTTTAGACTGAAAGCTTGTATTTTAAATGACTTGCTTTCCACCTCGCACTGATCAGCCCTTTGATCCACCCTCAGTACTAATTCTTGAAGTCTGGGAAGAGCTCTGATCCCTTCATAAGATGGCAGAGGATGGCACTCTCCCTGCAGATGTGTCCCCAAATGTGAAGATTTTAGGACCTGTTGGGGGGGGGGGTGTTTGGCTGCACATACTTCACTCCTTAAATCTTTAAAAAAAAATACAGGGAATTAGACAGAGTCAGGTACAGTAACAGCAGGTGAAGGGGGTGGATTTTATGGCACTGAGGATCTGACTGGCTCCCTTATCAGCTCAGTTACAGATAGGACCACTTTTTAAAAACACTGAGATATGTTGTAAAGAAAGTATGTGTTAGGAGGAAGCTGAATTCTGTCCAACTACCCTCCTTGCTTTAGCTTCTCTTTAAAATCTTCTACAAGAACATTCCTATCCCTGTAAATCATTGCTGGTTGCATTTTGCTTTAATTTGCCAGCAGCCTTTTCTTCTACATTCCAATATTGTAGTTTGAGATGGAAGTCAGGAAAGTGGACTGTATTTGCACTTCCTTTCGTATTTTGTCTGGAGAAGTATTTACAATAGCTTTCTTTCTACCTATTAAAGAAAGGTACCAAATCAAAGGCACATGGATTAAATTGCATATTAAGTGGCACCTGAGCGTGGTGTAGGAGGACTTATCGATCTGAAACCTGTTTACCTTCTAAAAAGGTGAGTACGCTTTCAGAACCAGGTAGCGGCCTTGTCAGGTGACTGGAACGTGAGCTGACTTCAGTTGCAATGCGTTACCTGTTACCAGAGTCAGAAGTCGGATTAGGATGATGATGATGAATGTAACTTGTGCACTGCCAGGCAGAGAGGAGACGCAACCTTTCTCGCATCTCTGGCTACAACCTCTCTGTGCATGAAGTTACCAACATTAGCGCTGATGGATTTTCCCAGCGGAGCTTTGAATTACAGCGGGGCTGTGCAACTGTCCATTACCCGATTAAAATCTTTTCAGAAGCATCATTTTCAAAGGTGACTTTGTGCACCAAGGAAAGGGGGAAAGGGACTGCCCCGCTTTGCAAATAACCCACACTCTGTGGTCAATTAGTCTTTCTCCCTCCTACCCACAGGCAAACACGTGCATGCCACGTAGGCTCTTTCTCAAGGCCTCTGCATATCCTGAAATTCTGTGTGATCCCTGAAAGAGGATTGTGATGGTCGAGTACAGACGGGTGGAATATGTGAGCTTAGATCTAGGAGCATGTATCAATATCCAAGTGTAATCTGATGTCAAGTTGTAATTTTGATGGCTAGTTGAGATAACCCTGGGGGAAGCCAGTTAACAAATTTAAAATGACAAGTTGCCTTGTCTGCTAGGATTTTCCATGTTTAGCTGATAACTGTTTGATATACTTTCTATTCCTAGGACAGGCAAGGCCAGGGAAATAGTCTTCAACCAAGTGATAGTAGTAGAGCAAAAGAGAAGGTTGCTTCCAAACTCTTCACCTCCGTGGCATGCAGTCTTCCACAGCTGCCTTGTGAGTAAAGACACAAAGTGACTGAAGCACTGGAAGTGGTGGCTTGGTGCTCCATTCCAGCATGCACATGCAAAGGGATCTGACTCAGCTGCTGCCTGATACGTGCTGAAGTGTGTGCCTGGAAATCACATGCATTACTGCTCCTAGTGGTGATGAACTATGGCTTCAAGCAGCTCCGT